GGAGAAGAAGAATCCTCTTCCATCCCACTAGTCCCCCCTGAAGAGGATTCTGGGAAGAATGAAAATAGGATTGAGAYTCAAAAAATACCACATCCTTTGTGATGTATTTCTTCTTGGTAACTAGATCATAACACTTGTAACCCTTTTGTGTAGGAGAGTACCCTAGAAAGATTCCTTTCATAGCTCTAGGATCCAACTTGGTCTTCTTTGAATCCTTTACATGAATAAAACATACACAGCCAAAGACTCTAGGTGGAAGAGGAAAGTCTGGAAGATTAGGGCAAAGGACAGAGAAAGGAGTTTTCATACCCAACACCTTAGATAGCATCTGATTTATCAGATATGATGCGATAAGGACTTCTTGAGACCAATAGTGCTTGGGAACCTTGTGCTGAAATAGTAAAGCTCGAGCTGTCTCCAATAAGTGTCTATTTTTGCACTCAGCAACCYCATTCTGTTGAGGGGTACTAGCACAAGATGATTGGTGTAGCATTCCTACATCCTCCATGAACAGGTTCAAGGAACTTTCAAAATATTCAGCAGCATTGTCTGAACGGAATTGCTTAATCTTCTTGTCGAATTGATTTTCAATCATTTTACAAAATTCCGTGGTTATTCGTGGCACTTCATCACGTCCTTTTAACAAGTAGATCCATGTGCATCGTGAATAGTGATCAATAAAGCTGATAAAGTAACAAAAKCCATCTACAGAAACAAGAGGTGAAGGGCCCCAAATCAAAAGGAGCTTGAATTCCATTACTAGAAATTGGATAAAGAGTTCTACATTGTTTTGACAACTAACACACTTCACAAACTAAACTTTGACTCGAAACACACTTGAATAATTCAGGAAATAACCCTTGCAATGACGAAAAAGGTAAATGACCTAGCCTAGCATGCCACAAGTGTAACCTAAGCTATTGACTCCTCATTATTCTGACTACTGGCAGCAAATGATTGTAAGGTCGAACTGATGTCTGCATCAAAATAGTAGAGACCTCCACACTCATGACCACTCCCAATCGTTCTCTTCGTCAGTCTGTCCCGAAAGACACAATGAATAGGAAAGAAAGTTATGCTATAGTTTAAATTCTTGGTAAGCTTCGAAACAGATAAGAGGTTGGAAGTAAGATTGGGAACATGTAGAACAGATTTAAGAGAGAGGTCCTTGCTTAGGTCAACCCCCCCTTTCTCAGAGATGGTGGAGAGAGAACCATCAGCAACTCTAATCTTGTCTTGGCCAGACATCAAATGATAAGAAAAAAATAAAGAGGACATGTGTGTCATGTGGTTAGTTGCACCGGAATCAATAATCCAAGAAGTAGACTCTATAGAACTAGTTGCACTACAAGTAGAGGCAATACTTGATCTGGCAAGAGAGGTGGAAGCAAGGGAATTAGTCCTTAGACGGGTTAAGGCCCAGCTAAGGACCTCTACCTCATTAGCAGTGAAATCCAAGGACCCGRATGTGTGGGAATTAGCAGTCTGTCCCATGGGAGGAAGTGTAACTGTAGATGTGTTCTTCGGGCTCTCACCACTGTGACTAGTAACAAAGTTCCCACTTGCTATTTGATTCCTCTGAGGCTTCTTGTCTTTCCTTAACACAGCTGGTTTCAGATGAGGATAAAGAACCCAACAAATCTCTTTTACATGTCTTCCACCTCCACAATGAGTACACTTAAGATGCCTCTTGTCCAAATGCTTGCTCCCTTTTTGGTTTGAAGAAATCAAGGCTGAATGTTCAACAGGCTGTATTTGAGTGTCAACTTGCATCTCTTTCCTCCTAACCTCTTCATTCCTTGCTAGATGGTAGACATGGTGTAAATCTGGCATTTCATCCCTTCCCAAAATTTGAGACCTTATGCTCTCATACATTGGGTCTAAGCCAGCCAAGAACTTAAAGGCTCTACCTTCTTCAATTTGTTTATCATGCCTCTCCTTGTCTCTTATATTCTCCCAACCAAGAATAAGATGATGATCAAGTTCTTCCCATAGTCCTTCTAGGGTTGCAAAATACGTTGCAACTGTCATATCTCCTTGTTTCAATGCAGCAATGTCTTGGTTTAGCCTATAGATTCTTGCATTGTTCTTTCTCTGTCCATAAGTTTTAGACACTTTCTCCCAAATCTTAGCAGCAGTGGGAAAGTGTTGAACAGTCCTGGCCACTCTTGGAGTCATCGAAGCAAGCAGCCAGGACATAACAGTAGCATTTTCCTTATGCCATATTGCGTACTCCACACCACCCTCTTTAGGTTCCTGCTTCTGTCCATCTAAATAACCCGTATGTTCCTGGGAAGTAATGAAGAGCATGGCTGAAACAGACCATTCTCTGAAGTTATACCCGTATGTTCCAGATTAGAAGACCTCCCACCAGTTCTATTATCCTTAGAAGACACTTCTCCTGATATTGAAGAATCTCCTTCCTCTTACAGTGGTCACAATTGAAATCTCAGTACAAAGAACACGATTTCAGACTTACCGAAGTTGTTACAAGTCTGAGAACCCCCTGTAACAGGTCTGAAGCACCTCTGTAACAGTTCTGAAACCAAGAACAATCCACCCTTGTACTGTATTGAACACTTCTGGGCTGGGCTTTGACTTCTGTTGTCGTAGTTGTAGCCGAGGGCAATACCTCTTTGGCACCTCTGGTGGTCGAACATAGACTGTGACCACCCTTACGATCTGTACTAGGACTGTCTAACTCAGTCCTTCCACCTAGATCTGTTCCACACAGATCTCTCTTAGCAGCTGAATGGCTACTACCTGCTGCAGGATTTCTAGTAGGGCATCAGCTTCTGGAACAAACTCCCCTTAGGCCCTACAACCAAGAGAAACCCTAGATACAGACCTTGTTGTGTTCTACGGTCAGCCCTAGGGTTTCTTCACAGTGGCCAAGATAGGAGAGAGAAAAAAGAAGGAATAGAGAAGTGGAGAAAAGAGGCGGCTGTAACCAGTCAGACCGATTAGTGCTCTGATACCATGTTTGCTGGAGAATAGTAGCCGAAGAAGAAGAAGAAGAAGAAAGGAGATCTGAGAATGGCGGCTTAGTCACTTCAGCCAGCCCTAGAATCTTATGTAAGTATTCACAATGTAATTGTAGAGGAGATGGGCCGAATGGCCCATAGACTGTCATTTCATGTTATGTTATGTTTCCCTCTATAATGGGCCTTATTCTGGGCCCATACTCTGTAATGTTCTGTTTTTTGTATTTTCTTGCCCACTCAAGGGCCTCTCTATAATATTTCAAAGATTAACTTCTTAATAAAATGTTTAGAGTGTTAGAGGGAGGTTAAGTTCGAACCTCTCACTCTCTAACCCTCATTGTCGCCAGCTCTCTCTCTCTTCTTCCTCTCTTGTTTGTTTATTTTCTGGTTTGCATCTAATCTCAATCAGTTCCATACATCAAGCAGACTGTTTTTCAACTGTAATGTTACAAGAAAGGACTAGAATGCCCCTGATTAGTGATGAGACACCTAGACATAAAAAGAATAAAACAAGTTTAGGCCCAATAACTAAGGCCCATAATAAGCTCAAGAACTTAAAACGTAAATAAGACTAACATAAACACTAAACCAATTGAACCAACACATTTAACCTAGGATGGTTTGGGATAAGCTGTTGGACCGAAAAGGACATTTAAGAAACTATTTGAGGACTTAAAGTTTAACAAAGCCTTTTAAAGAGTTAAATGGAAAAACAGGATTCATGTAGCTGACCTAATGTGGTGGTGAGGAGGGTGAAGTTGTAGTAGAACCATTTAGAATTTGTGGAAGGAGAGGGTGAAGCATAAGATGTCTCCCATAGAATTTGTAGAATTTGTTTAATCAAATTTATCTTTATTATAAAGAAAAGAGCAATCCTGAATGAATTCTGATATATCTTGATTACTAGGTTTCTTTGATTAGCACAGTAGTCCAACACACTGAATGTCTGAAAGTCAATTTCAAAGAGATAGGTAAATTGATAAAGGCAACCTGGGCAATCTTTTTTTTTTTTTTGATTTCTTTTGAAGGGCTACACAATGGGGGGTAGCCAATCCCCAACCCATAACCCCCCCAACCCAGGTGCAGGTGGGATTCGATCCCAAGTCTCCACTATAACCAGTAGGAGACCTTACCAACAAGCTGGTTGGCACCTTGCAGCAACCCAGGCAATCTTAACCAATACAATTCTATGAACATACTCCAAAAAACCATTGTCATACCTACAATATACAAGAAACCCTCACAAGAGACCATAAAACTAATTTTATAGAGCCAGGTAAACAAAGTAAAGAATCAGATAAATAAGCAAGCATCAATATGAAAGAATTTCTGCTGCAGTGTAAATTGCTTCCAAAAGATAATTTGAGTCACTTTTCGTTATACCTAGTAGATAATAGGGATCAGCTTAAGGTTCATCCAACTAAATTGAGTCACTTGAGGGAAGCTCTCCCTCTTTTAATACAATTATACTCTTATAAAAAAAAAAAAAAGATTCATCCTTTATGCTCCAGAGGGCTGTAGAATGAAGATATACAATTTGCTTCAGAACAGAAAATGCCTTTGATGTCAAGGTGGTTGTCATATAGTTGTGATAAAAAAGGTCATTAGCTAATGTTGGTCCCAGCTATCTGGGGTCTTGGGAGGGGTGGACTGGATATAGTCCTAGCATTTTTGCATTCTTTTGCATAAAGTGGTCACTCTCAGACTTGAACCTGTATTCTCACACTTGTCAGCCCAGGATTTACCATTAGAGCAGGTAATGGTGTAGTGTCATTGCAGTTGTCTTCATAGAATATTATAATCAGCTGATGCAATCAACAAAGCAATTCCTGATTTGTCATGTTATTGAGGTGAGGTATAACCAGTGCTTGTTTCAAAATTTTCCTGTGGCTTGTTTGTTATATCAATGACTTGGTATATATAGAAGATTATAGATTGAAGCAGTTGCTGATGGTTCTTCAAGGTCAGTGTTTAAGTTGTATTCAAGTCCTCATGTATCATTTACTTTGTTTGCAGGATCGAGAAAATATTGAGCGCCTTGAAATTACTGGTGTTGGTGATCCATCTGGTCGGGGCTTAGGTTTTAGTTATGTTCGAGTTACTCCCAAAGCACCTGTATCAAGTGCTATAGTAAAGAAAAAGGTAACTGCTGCTAGAGGAGGTTCAACTGCCACTGGAACAGATTCTGATCTTCGCAGGTTGAGCATGGAGGCAGCTTGTGAGGTATGCCCATTCATATGAAGGATTTCTGGAATGGTTTCAATGTAAGTTCTACATGATATTGTCAATATCTTAAAGCCATTACTCAATGTTGGACCTGGCCATCACCCAATGTTGGACCTAGTTGGCAAAATCTTATGGTTTACATTAAAATTCATAATTCTTGAATCCCATGGGTTTCAATTCCAATCTTATGTATGAATCTTATGCTGAAAAAAAAATATCTTAAGATTCTATTTTTGAATCTTAATACTTATATCATTCATTCAATTTGAGTCATTTTAATTGGACTTGATTCTCTAATTTATCATTCCTTTGCATAAGAATTTGGTAGTTGGCATTTTTAAATTTTCACTTACAATAAGGGAATGTTGACTAAAATCTTCACAAAAATTTCCTCCAATAGGGAATTGTGTCCACTATGTCCTCTGCTATTCAACTTTTGCCCAGATACTATTTCTAAAAGGGCTTTTGGATATCCAATGGCCTTGTCTATTCATTTCTATTATTGTTAAATAAAGAGTGCTCCATCAAAGATGAAGCATTTGTTTTCCTTTTGTTTTTGTACTTATATAAAGAACCAAACTGCTAATCATATATCTACTTGGATTTCTATGACATGATTATAAGACACTATGTTTCAATGAAAATAACATAGAAAAAACGGTATAAAGAAACTTTCTTGTTCTCATCTGGTAAAATATTAAGCAATGTAACATGGGGCTTGTTATAATCTGTACTTGGTAAGCTTAACTTCAGAAACTATGAAAATTAGTGCAAAGTGTTAACTGCACTATCCTTGGTTAAGATTGGAAATTGTAGAGAGGTTGGGCTGAATGAGCCTTAGTTTTGTTTATCTATTCAGTAGTTTTTATTTCATCTGTAGTGGGCCTTCTTTATGGGCCATAATACTTAATGTTTCTTTACAATCTTTTGGTCAGCCACCTAACTAGGGGCACCCATGTAATTCTGCACCTTTTAATATTCAGCATATATAAATTGATTCAGGGATAGAGGGACAAACACAATTCAGCTCTCCTTTCCTCTCTTTTCTTCCTCTTTCTTTCTCTTTCTCCAGAACATCTTCTTCCTTCTTTTTCTTATTTATTTTCTTCTCTAAAATCAGTATTATTGCCGGATTATATTTTTTTCTTGGCATTAGAGTAGGCTCCTACTTCCTGCTTTTCTCTTTTTAAATACACTGTGTATGGAGAATTAAGTTACTAATCAATTGAAAATTGGTGTTGCCCAGTTTGGGGATATTTCTAGAGAAGATTTAAGATTCAAATTAAAGCCCAAGACAGGTTCCTTGGAGATTTTTCCCAAAAACCCTAGATGATTGTAGAAATTAGATTAAGGGGTCCAGAGATAGCTTGAAGCTGGTGCTTGGAGCTTAAAGGAGACCTATTTGGAGATCAACTTTGGTTGGAGAAACTTCCAAAGTCATTGGTAGGAGTGGCTATAAGTTCTCTCTTTCTCCCATTTTGTTGGGTATTGTGAAACCATAGTTTTTGGCTACAAAGAAGCAAGTTTGGCTTCGGGTTAGTGTTTTTTGATTAGTAGTATCTTATTTTTATTTTTGTTCATTTCCATTTAATCAGTAGAGCAAACTGGAGTTGAGACAAAATATCCTACAAACTCCAGATTTAGCCAGGGGAGTCTTTGGAGACTGGGCAGTGACTATTGTGAAGCTAGATGAAACTAAGCATGGTCTCAATCAATAAAAATCCATGTCTGTAATAGAGGAAAATGGGGGTACATCATTGGGAGTAAGGCAAAACCTAAGACGATCCTACCAATGAGAAGTGGATGTAGGAAACTTACATAGTTGTAAGCTGGTTAGTGAATTCTATGCAACATCATATATGTCAATACTACCTGTGGGTAGACACTACTAATGAGGTATGGGATAGTGTTAAAGAGACCTCATAGAAGTTGAATGTTGCTAGGGCTTATAAATTAAAGAGTGATGTGAATAATTTGAGACACGAGGCGAAGCCCTTAGCAATGTATTTCTCAATGTTGAAGTCTTTATGGATGGAAATTGATTTGGAGACAGTTCAATGGGGGTGCACAAAAGATGTACCCCATAATATATTTCTAATATATTATAATATTATATATTATATATTATATATTATATATTATATATTATATTTTATTTTTAAGTACAGTCCTCTGTCGTATAATATATTATATATTATATTTTCTCTTTTAACTTTTAAGTACAGTCTTCTGTCGTTTTCTCTTTTTGGTGATTCAGCTTTTCAATTTTCATGATTTATATATTATATTTCCTGTTGCAGACTTGCAGATCTAGAGCGACACGTATCCGCTCGTGACGTGCATCCCCATGCAATCCGACAGTTCGAAAGTTTTTCATGATTTCCTCTCTTTGAATCAAATTAACTTAAACGGCTAAACGACTTTCCCTTTCTCTCTTACTCTCAGTTCTCAGCCTCTCATCTCTCTAGTCTTCTTCTTCCCCAAACCAACCGACGGCCTCCGAGTCTCCGATCAACGACCTCTGGGCTCTGACTAACGAGTGACGACCTTCGATTTCTCAGTCTCTCATCTCTCAGTTCTCTCTCTCAAATTAAACGCCTTTCCCTTTCTCTCTCACTCTCAGTTCTCAGTCTCTCATCTCTCTATTCTTCTTCTTCCCTAGACTGACCAATGGCCTCCAAGTCTCTGACCGACGACCTCCGGGCTCCGATTGACGGCCTCCGAGTTCTCAATTTCTCATCTCTCTTCTTCTTCCCCAATGGGAAAAAATCCTAGATCGATCGACGGCCTTTCTCTCTTTTTTTTTTTTTACTTTGAATGCATAAAAAACCAAAAAACTGAACCGCGGTTAACCGATCCACCGGTTAACCGGTCGACCGGTTCCATCGGTTCGGTTTCGGTTCGAATATTCAAAAAATAACCTCACGATTCGGTTCGGTTAACCAAACTGTGAGCACCCCTACCGGGCAGTTCAACCGTTCACCTATTCAACCCGGTTACAGGGTCGTAGGTTGCACACTTAATGTATGTGCAAACATTCTAAGGCCATAACTTTGCACTCCGATGTTTGATTGGGATGATATTTTTTCTTATTTTGGATAACTTTTCGAGATATGTGTCTAGGCACCTTGCCCTGCTATTTTCACAAAAAATCCCCTTTTTTTACCTAAAATCACAAATTTTAATATTTTTATAAATAAAAAATTAAAAAACATAAATTAAAAATAAAATAATAAATATGTAATATGTAAAACATAATTATACACTATCATACATATTTGCACACAGACACACGACCCGCTATAGTGGTTACATGGAATAGTCTGACTTGTTGTACCCAAATGGTCAAACCGGCGACCCACGACCCGAAGGCAAAAGTGGGTCGGCCTCCGGGTTGGTTTTTAAAACATTGCCTATTATCAGTCATTTAGAATCTACCTCTTTAGCTTTTGCTTCACCGAGTAATGGCTCCACTTCTACCCATGCTCACATAGATTTCGTGCTACTACGAACCATGCTTTTACCTCAGGTAATTGTAGGATTCCCTGGATAACAAATTTTGGTGCTTTTGACCATATAACTAGTGTTTCCATTTTATTCACTACTTACCAACTTTTATTTGGCCACGACAAAATATCCCTTGCTTATGGCTCTCTTGCCTCCATCTCAAGAAAGGGAGACATCAAAACCTTAGACTCCCTTACTTTGACTTTTGTATTCATGTACCAAAACTTAATACTAATCTACTTTCCTTTTGTAATTTGACTAAATCTCTGAACTGTAGTGTAATCTTTTTCCCCTCTTATTGTGTTTTTTAGGACATGAAATCTTAGTAGGTGATTGGGAGCGACTATGAGGTGAATGGGATATATCTATTAGGCATGCCTGAGCAAAGCTAAGTACAGCTTTTGGATTTATAGTGTTAGAGTTAGTCGTGTCATATTATGTCATTATCGTTTGGGTCATCTTTCTTTTTCTTCATTAAAGCTTTTGTTTCCAACATTTTTTAAAGGAGTTAGTTTATCAAATCTACATTTTGAATCCTATGAGTTTTCAAAGCATTGTAGAAACTTTTATCTTGCAAGTAATAAAATATTCACTTTCCCATTTAACATTGTTCACTCTAATGTATGGGGGCCTTAACATTTAACTTGCATGGGAGGCTATAAATATTTTATTTTGTTCATTGATGGTTTTTCCCACTATACTTGGCTTTACCTTATGCATTTTCATGTTGAAGTACCCAAGCTTGTTCAACAATTTCATGAATTTGTGCTTATCCAGTTTAACACCTTAATCAAAATGTTCCAATCGGACAATGCTAAGGAATATTTTGAGAAGGATCTCACATCTTACTTCGAAAAGTTTGGAGTTGTTCACCAAAGCTCTTGTGCTCACACTTCGAGCAAAATGGAGTAGCAGAGAGAAAGAATTGACACATTGTGGGAGTTGCTAGAAGTATTCTTTTTTGCTTCCCATGTGCCTATAAGATTTTGGGCTGGCATAGTGATGATACTTACTTATCTTATTAATCGTATGCCTTCCAGGGTTTTAAGGTTTAATTCTCCCTTCAGTGTCCTTTCTCCAGACCATGATGTTTTCTCCATTCCCTTGCATGCTTTTGGATGCATTTGTTATGTTCAAGTTCCTAGTTCCCAAAAACATAAGTTTGAACCCAAAGCCAGGAAATGCATTTGATCCTAGTAGTGGCATCTGATTTGTTTCCATGGATGTCACTTTTGCAGAGCTTGTTCCCTTTTATAGCCATCCTTTTGAGGGGGCCCTCTATTGATTTGTTGCTTCTCCCCTACCCTTACCAACTTCCATTAAAATTTGTGTTAGCTCTTCTTCAACTCCTTCGGCCCCTTTAGTTGAGTCTCCTAGCTCCCCCATCCCTGCTCCTCCACCTCCTCCTAGTCCTCTGTTCACTATACCTCCTATTCTTCAAAGGTGGTACCAACAACAAAGGCTAAGACATGCATAGCTTGTTCCCCCATCTCCGGGTGAGTCTCTAACACTTCTAGAAACTGAAGAGTGGATAGGTCCTATACAACCATCACCAATGCCTTCATTCCCAAATCTTGACCTACCCATTGCAGTAAGAAAAGGTAAAAGAAAATGTACTGGCTCACTGTATTTCCAAACACACCTCTTACAGTTTGTTATCCCATTCCTACTACTCCTTCCTAGCTTCCATTTCAGCCCAACATGTTCTTAAGAATGTACTAGTAACCTTGTCTAAGCTAGAATGGAGGGATGCTATGAGGACTAAGATGGAAGCACTTCATAAGAACAATACTTGGGACATTGTAGATTTACTTGCTAGGAAGGAGCCTATTGGTTGTAAATGAGTTTACACTATAAAGTATCATGCTGATGTTTGGACTGAGAGGTATAAAACCCGCCTTGTTTCCAAAGGCTATACTTAGGTGTATGGGATTGATTACGACTCTGGTGGCTAAGATGACATCTGTGAGTGTTTTGTTTTTAGCAGTGAGCTATAACTGGCCCCTTCGTCAGTTTGATGTCAAGAATTCCTTCTTGAATGGTGATTTGACTGAAGAGGTGTATATTGGAATGTATGGTAAGGAGATGCAAGGTAAGTATGTAAATTGAAGAAATATCTTTATGGACTTTCCCCTTGTGCTTTGTTTGATAGATTTTGAACCAACTCTTATTCAATTTGGTTATGCACAAACTTAGTTTGACCATACTTTGTTTCTGAAGAGGAATTCTCAGGTCATCTTCCCCATTGTATATGTGGATGACATTGTTGTTACATGTAGTGGTACACAAGAAATTCATAATCTCAAATGCTTTCGTAACTCTAAGTTTGAGATTAAAGATTTGGGGAGTTGCGATATTTCTTGGTTATTGAGGTTGGCAGATCTAATGGAGAGGTTTTCATCTTCTAGCAAAAGTATGTGTTGGATCTTCTCTTTGAGACTGGGAAGCTTGGTGCCAAACCTGTCTCCACTCCTATTGATGTGATTCATAAGCTCTCAGTTAATGATGGAGAGCTCTTGACTAATAGGGGAGTGTTTCAGACATTTCTTATGCTGTGAAGTGTGATTAGTCAATTTATGCATGCCTTGTAAGATACATGTGGCTACTGTAGAATGGGTGTTATTTCATCTTAAAGGAACTCTTGAGAAGATTATACTCTTTGCTCTTTGCTAAGCATGGTCATATGATGTTAGATGCCTATGCAGATGTTGATTGGGCATGTAGTATAGGTGATAGAAAATCCACATCGGGTTATTGTACCTCTCCTGAAGTAGTCAAAAGCAATTTGTGGTTGCTCGATCTTCAACTGAGGCAGAGCATAGGGCTATGGCCCATGGGGCTGTCATTAACATTGCTCATAACCTAGTTCAGCATGACAGAACTAAGCACATTGAGGTAGATAGACACTTCATATGACAGAGAGTAGCCTCAGAGGAGGTTCCTAAGGCAAAGCTCCAACACTATGTAAGCAACTTGAGAATGATTGACATCTATGCTTAGCTTGAGGGGAATGTAGAGAGGTTGGGCTGAATGAGCCTTAGTTTTGTTTATCTATTCAGTAGTTTTTGTTTCAACTGTAGTGGGCCTTCTTTATGGGCCACAATACTTAATGTTTCTTATGTTCTTTGGGTCAGCCACCTAATTAGGGGCACCCATATAATTCTGCATCTTTTTTTTTTATCAATACTACAGTAACTTTTATTAAGAAAAAATATTATAGAAAGATACAATTTGAAGGGAGGGCTAAAAACACTTAACCCTCCCCAACATTAATGGTCAGATTACAACACAGCCCAAAAAAGATTTGCTCTTCCCACCAATTGTTTGGCCAAAGAGTCTGCCAGAGAATTGGCACACCTCTTGGCCCACTAAACCTGAACTTGCATGTTTCGAGTAATCTGGATGATTTTCTTTTTTTCATTTGAGAACTTCCACAGACTAGAATCTTCCTCCTGCAACCTGCTAACTGTCAGCCTAGAATCTCCTTCCACCAACAGATTTCTGATTTTTATAATTCTGCATCTTCTAATATTCAGCATATATAAATTGATTGAGGGATAGAGAGAGGGACATGATTCAGCTCTCCTCTCCTCTCTTTTCTTCCTCTTTCTTTCTCTTTCTCCTGAACATCTTCTTCCTTCTTTATTTTCTTCTCTAAAATCAGGATTTTTATTGGGTTATATTTCTTCTGAAATTGAAATACTACCTTTAAGATAAGTTTCCTGTAATCTTTCAAGTTTTTTTTTTTCTGTTTTTAAATACTTACTAGACTAAGGGGTTGTTTGGTAGCAGCTGAATAGCTTATTGCTTTGCTTTTTTATTTTTGTTTTTTGATAAGTCTTATTGCTTTGTCTTTTAGTGAATAAGTTATTAAGGAGGTTATGAGCTCCTTAATGACTGGAACTGAACTTGGATTGAATGATACAAATATTTTATTATTAATTATCTTGTCCATTGACAGACAGCAATGTCATTTAGTTCAATCACTTCATCCATTATCAAATGGACCCTAAGACATATTTAGGTTATTCAAGACCTATTTAGAAACCTTATTGAGTTTATTTTTCATCATATGTAGGTTAAAGAGTCATTATATTTGGGTTAACTGACCTTTAATTCAAGCTTGATTATATCATCTTACACTGCAATGTAAATGTGGTAAATTCTGTTGTATGAAGCACACATTTGGTATAGGTGAATAGGAAATGGGGTAAAATCACTTCTCTCCCTATGCATGTGTGTGTACTAGCTTCCTAGGTTGATTAATTTGGTCCAAGTGTTTTATCTTTATTTTCTCCTTTTTATTGTGCTCTTCTGCTTTTGAATTTTTAGTAAATTCTCTTTGATCTCTTAGATCGGTGCATCTAGACTGATTCTAGGCAAACAAGAGAAAAAGGCTTGAATAAATGTTGAGGAAGTCTAACCGTTGGCTATCCTCTGTTTGGATTATATTTATATATTCTTAATTCATGTCAAATTGCTAAAACACCTTTAGAAGGGGTTAAACAGAAAATAATACATCTATATGCAAAGTACATCTAAATCTATGTATCCAGATCAGCTACATTTTCTTTAAATGATACATCTATATGCAAAGTAGCATCTCTAGCATTTCTAAGAAGATGTACCTTTTCTCTCTTCACTAACCCTAACCCCTTGATGTTCTAAATTTCTAGGTTCTCCTTAAGTTCAATGTTCCTGAAGAACAGATTGCAAAAAAAACAAGGTGGCATCGAATAGCTATGATACGCAAACTTTCAAGTGAGCAGGCTGCATCAGGGGTTAAGGTTGATCCAACAACCATCAGCAAGTATGCACGTGGACAGCGAATGTCATTTCTTCAACTTCAGCAGCAGACAAGAGAAAAATGCCAGGAAATTTGGGATCGCCAAATTCAGAGTCTTTCAGCTGCTGATGGTGATGAAAACGAGAGTGACTCTGAAGCAAATAGTGACCTGGATTCCTTTGCTAGTGACCTTGAAAATTTGCTGGATGCTGAAGAGTGTGAAGAAGGGGAAGAAAGTAATTATGAACCCAAACATGATAAAGAAGATGGTGTTAGAGGACTTAAAATGAGAAGACGCCCATCGCAGGCTCAGGCAGAGGAGGAAATTGAAGATGAAGCTGCAGAAGCAACAGAGTTGTGTAGGATGCTCATGGATGGTATGGTTGATTTCAGTTCCTAATCACTCTCTAAAGATGACTTTAGAAATTTGTTTGCCAATTCATGAGAACATTTTGGTTGTGACACTGAATTTTGTGAAGAAAATGCAGCTGATAAATAAGCAGAAAATAACAAGAAAACAAATATTTACAATGAATTACACAATACTATTTAAGAGGATCTTTTCTATAACTATGTTTTTGCATTTTTGTTTTAACTGAATATTGAATTTGAAATAAAAATATGTAATCTTTTATTATTACATGTTATATGTATATATATTGAATTATTATATCAAGCAAGTGTTTATTTGATATTCGATACAGGGAAATGCTACTGCCAAAATAATGCCTTAGTAATGCCATGTGATTTGCATGTAAAACAACATTTTATATTAGAAGACTTAAACAGGAGAACTTCCTGTTGCATTAAACAAAACATGCTTTGGCAGTATCTTTTTCCTACAATTACCTATCAAAAAAAAAATCTTTTTTCCTACATACATACATTACTTTGGTTTTTAATTTTACATAACTTATTTTAAGGTAAAATAATTATTTTTGAGAAAAGGTAAAGAATAGAATTTCATTAATCAAAATAACCATGTACAACTAGAGGCTGTACATTAGGAATATATACAAAACCCTAATACTGACATCCCTATACAGATATTCCCTGCCTGTTTACAAAGATTATTAAGACAAAATGTGAGCTATAGTTTCTTCCTTTAAGTAGTCTATGAAATGCCAGACATGAATGTAGCTTTCCAACTATCTTTTAAACCACTGAATCTACTGAATTGCTCTTTTGGAAGTTCCTAGCATTCCTCTCTCGCCAGTTGCCACAATACCCAGAACACAGATGTTGATACTATATCCCACACAGTTCTTCCTCTTTTGCTTAAACCTTTTCCCATCTCCAACCCCTCAAGATAAAGCAATTATGATTATTTAGAGAACCATTATTTTGGTATTTAAATAATTGAATTAGCTAGTAAATTGTGTAATTGAAGCCTTGTTAGTTTCTTTTATTCTTTTTTTCCTCTTTGGTGGGGAGTGGAACAAGGCTCCAATGAGTTGTTTTGAGAGAAGAAAAAGGAATTTTGGGGAGATGTGGATACAAATAATAGATGGTTAGGTCATGTGCATAGAAGACCACCTACAGAACCCATAAGGAAAAGCAATCAGTTACAAATCACTTATTCTATATTTCTACTATAAGGACAAGGGGCTAATTCTACCCATGTCCTTTTTGGTCTACCCCTTGTCCTTCTAGCCCCTTCAAATTGTAACAGGTCACTTATTCTTACGAGTGCTGTTGATGGTTTTCCATGCACATAACCAAACCATCTTAGAAATTTCTATTAGTTTGCACATGTCAATTGAAATTTATATGCCAAATTGCTTGTAATTATGAATATATGCCAAATAGAATTGAGATTATTTTTGAAAAAAAAAAGTAAAGCATAAATGCCAAGTCAGTATTTAAGAACAGTATGGACATGTTTTTTTACCAATGGAATAACTACTTGATTAATGTTGACGTTAAGATAAATTATAGAAGAAATGGTCTTTGGAACACCATGATGAACAATTATGAAAAATCATTTGCAGATGATGAAGCTGAGCGAAGGAAGAAGAAAAAGACAAAAGCAACATGGCAAGAAGGAGGTTTGGGCTCTCAATTAGGTTTTACTTCTGAAAATGCAAATCAAACCAAAAAAAGTTGTGGGGCCAAGCAGATAATTCGTACAGTCCAATCTGATGGATCATTTATATCCAAGGAGAACATCACTCGTGGGCCAATGGAGGTAATAGTGAGTCACTCAGCCTCCTTGATGGACTCTATCCTCAATTGCTTCTCTATTCTGCTTGCGTCCTACTTGTTACACAATATAGAGATCATACTTGGTTTTAGTGGATAAACCATCAAATAACATAACAAAATGTTTCTTCATTTTTCTGGATGAAGGTTGAAAAGATGAAATCAAAGAAAGGAAATGGGAAGAATGGTGTACTGAAAAGGAAAGCTAAAGTAGCAGGAGACGGAATTAAGGTGAGATCGTGACTCGCCTTCTCTAGCTAGCCCCATCTTGGTGTTTTTATCTTTTTAGTCAGTTAATTCCAAACTATAAGGACACTAATCCAATTCAATATGTATGCAAATTTAATTGGTGTTGAGTTTTTGGCTGATAACATTTGTTTTTATTTACAAAGCATATTTAGAGAGTTATTGGCCCAAGGCCCATTAGTTTATGTTTAAATTTAGAGTGTTTACTTAGTTTTTACAAGTAGCCGACTTACTAAAAGCATACTTGTCTTTGTATTCAGTTTTATTTATGAGTATATAAGCTAATGAAAGGGGTGGCCAGGTCTAACTTTTGGCTTCTCCCCATTCTCTTCAACTTCCCTCCTCTTCTCTTCTTTGCACAAACCTTCTTTTTCTTTCTTTCCTTCTTTCTTTCTTTCTCTCTTTCACAGATTTTATATCAAAACAGAATTTTTGCACTTTTCTACTTGGTATCAGAGCAAGTTTAGGGATTTTTTGAGTTGTTTCATCATGCAGCCCTAGATCGGATGGCTGCATGATGAGGTAAAGAGCTAATCGAGAAAGTCTAGGGTTTTTGGATTTTTTAGTGGATCTTCAATCCCTTGTAGCAAGTCTAGGGTTTATCTCGAAAATTAGGAAGAATTGGAGAAAGGGGAAGAATTTTAATTTAGTAGGACTCTAAATTTTGACCTAGGAAGTGACGCTCTAGCTTTTTAGGGTTTCTAGATGTTTTCTAAAGAGGGTGGTTCAAGTCCCAATCTTTTTGGAGGCCTCTAGAGGGAGCGGTAGCCTCTTCTCTTCCTTCTCCTGCTCCCACGGAGAAGGGAATCTTTGGTGGGAGGGGTTTCTAGGGTACAAGGAAGGTGTTTGAGGTTTCTAAAGGAGATAAAACTTTCTTTTCATCTCAGGTTGGTCTCCTAATCTGTTGTAGGAGTTATGGAGGGTTGTGGAGTTGAAAATAAATCTGTAGGTGAAATAGAATTAGGTGGAGGTGTTGGTGACCTCTTTGGGGTTGGGACCATCACTACAATCAAGTTGGATGGTACAAACTACTTAGAATGGTCACAATCTACAAAGATGGCTATTGGAGCTTATGTAAAATTTGGGTTTGTCACTAGTGAGGGGAAGAAACCTAAGACTAACTACTCCTGGTGGGTACAGGAGAACTACGTGGTGATGATCTGGGTGTGCAATTTCATGTTACGCCATATAAGTAAGAACTTTCTATGAGATAACACAGCTAAGGAGATTTAGGATGGAGTAGCAAAAATCCACAGTGAGAATATTGCTAGAGCCTACTAGGTGATTGCTACTAGGCAGGGAGATAAGTTTGTTGTAATTTGTTTTTCAGCCCTCAAAGCCTTATGGCAGGGGATAGATCATTTGGAGACTGTGGTTTGGGAAAGTAGCAAAGATGCAGCAACTTATCAGAAGTTGGTAAAGAAGAATAGAGTATTTAAGTTTCTAGCAGGACTTAACCCTGAATATGACATTGTACAACAACATATTATTTCCCAAGATAGTGTAACTTGTATGCCTTTGTGTCTGGAGAAGAGAGTAAGAGGAATGTGATGATGAGAAACCCAGGCCTTAAGTAGTTAGCTATGGTTAGCACAGTGAAGCCTAAGTTGAGTAGGGATAAGAGTGGACATGAACCGAAGAAGGACAAGAAGGACCTGATTTGTGACTACTGTAAGAAACCTAAACATACTAGAGATACTTGTTGGAAGATTTACCCACACCTTATATCGAGTTAGCTCAAAAACAAGAAGGGAAATGTGAATATGACAGTGACTAGTGATTTATCAGGACCACCTACCACAACTTCTCTAAAGTCTGTTGTAGCAGCTACATTGAGGGCCGAATTGGAGAGATATGGGTAGTTTTTGGGTCAGAGATATAGCCAGTTCCAACTCATTATTTGGTGGACAGCAAGGTGCAGGTGGATCAGGAGGTAGTCATTCTACTTCGTTTGCACATACAGGTAGTTCACATGCCATTGCAAATTACGCATCCACTACAAGTAAGGGGTAACCTCTCTAGATTATAAACTCAGGAGCCTAAGAACATATGACCAATATTACTCATAAAAAAAGAACATATGACCAATATTTCCACCATCTTTGATTGACACGAACCCAGGTACGCCTCTTGTTTCCTCTGATGGTTTAGTTCCTATTGATACTACTACCCCTACTCCTAACACCATTGCATATGACCTAGATCTCCCTATTGCACTCCAAAAAGGGAATAAGAAGTGTATTGCTCATTGCATCTCACACTATCTTTCCTATAGTGGATTATCTCCTTCCTATTGGACCTTCCTTTCCTCCCTTGACTCTGTGTCTATACCCAGGAGTGTTGTGTTAGTGAGGCTCTCTCCAAACCTGAGTGGAAGACAGCTATGTAGGAGGAAATGAAAGCATTGATTAAAAATCAGACATGGGAGATTATGGATTTACCTGATGGCAAAGAGATAGCTGGATGTACATGGGTTTATACAGTGAAGTACAAGGTAGACGGAAGTATAGAAAGGTACAAGGAAGGGCTGGTTGTAAAAGGGTATACTCAGACTTATGGCATAGATTACTTGGAGACTTTTGCACTAGTGGCAAAGATGAGTTCAATCCGGATTCTCCTATCACTAGCAGCTACATACTCTTAGCCCCTCTTCCACCTTAATGTGAAGAATGCTTTTCTTAATGGACACTTGCAAGAGGAGGTGTACATGGATCTACCGGTTGGCTTTTACAGTGATGTAGCTAAAGGAAAAGTATGTTGATAAAGAAATCTTTATATGGTTTGAATCCATCACCCAGAGCTTGGTTTGACAGGTTTAGAAGTGATTTGATTGTATTTGGCTATACTCAAACTCAATTTGATCATACTTTGTTTGTGAAAAGGAGGGGATCATTGGTGTCAGTACTGATAGTGCATGTGGATGACATTGTAGTCACAAGAAATGATCTGAATGAGATTGATACCTTGAAGAAGAACCTACACAAAAAGTTTGAGATTAAGGATCTTGGGGAGCTGAGTATTTTTAGGGTATTGAGGTGGCAAGGTCCAAGCATGGGATTTTCATCTCACAGAGGAAGTATGATTTGGACTTACTACAAGAGCTAGGAAAGCTTGGGGCATGAATAGCCAATATACCTATTGATAAGTACCACAGGATAAATGCTTCAGAAGGTGAGCTAGTGAAGGATGTTAGAAGGTATCAAAGATTGGTGGGCCGGTTGCTATACTTATGTATGACATGGCCAGATACTTCTTATGCAGTGAGTGTGGTGAGTCAATACATGCATGCCCATTGACAGGACACTTTCCTATTTGAAGGGACACCCAAGTAGAGACATGTTGTTTGCTGACCATAGACATTTGAAGTTAAAGGCTTACACAGATGCTAATTAGGCAAGGTGCTTAGATGACAGGAGATCTATATCAGGAGTTTGCACTCTTGTTGGAGGTAATCTAGTGTCATGGAAGAGTAAGAAGCAATCAGTTGTAGCAAGGTCAAGTATGGAAGTTAAATATAGAGCCATGGCACATGGTGTTTCAGAGCTCCTCTAGGTCCGATACATGTTAGGGGAGATTGGAGTTGAGGCCAAAGAAACCATGATATTATAATGTGGCAATCAAGCAGCAATTAACATTGCCCATAACCCAGTTCAGCATGATAGGATGGAGCATATAGAAGTGGATAGACACTTTATAAGGGAAAGGGTGACACCCGAAGAAGTGTGCTTATCATATGTTGCATTTGACTTGCAGCTTGCTGATGTTCTTACAAAAGATGTTGCAAGAAACAAGCTGGAGCATGATCCACGCAAGTTGGGAATGTGTGACATCTATTCCCAACTTGAGGGAGTGTTGAGTTTTGGGCTGATAGCATTTATTTTTGTTTATAAAGCGTAGTTAGAGAGTTATTGGGCCCAAGGCCCATTAGTTTATGTTTAAACTTAGAGTGCTACTTAGTTTTTACAAGTAGCCGACTTACTAAGGGCATACTTGTCTTTGTATTCAGTTTTATTTATGAGTATGTAAGCTAATGAAAGGAGCAGACAGATCTAACTTTTGGCTTCTCCCCATTCTCTTCAACTTCTCTCCTCTTCTCTTCTCTGCACAAATATTCTTTTCCTTTCTTTCTTTCTCTCTTTCACAGATTTTATATCAAAACAGAATTTTTGCACGTATGCAACCAACACCAAAAACATCAGTTATGTTTTCTCCTGAATCCTGTGCACAATTTTTAGTTCACTACTAAACTATTTCCATCTGTTTTATATCATCAGGTTTAAAGATGATAATTATGTTACATTTCATGAAAAGATGAAAAATTTAATGTTTGTAATAGTAATTTCATTGTTTCATCAAATTTGCAGGCAGAGAAAATATCAAGTAGCACAGATGCTATTGGCATCCAAATTTTGATTGTTTATTAGGATCTACACTTTGTCTTCAGCTAACTGCTCTGGCAAAGTCATTGCCAATGCTTTTTGTCTGCAGAACATCACTCAAGGAAAATATAACAGCATTTTTTTTAACAGGAGTGTCAAGTCACAGGTTGAAGTAGTTTGTCTGGATATACTGTGTGAACTGCATGACATGCATGCGCCCATGTTTGAATGATGTACAAGCACATGCAAAAATATACCTTATAAATGTTGTAGAACTTGCTGTTAAGAAAATATTCAAGTTATAAGTTTCCCACATTTTATATCCAGGTTGTAAGATGTGGTCATATTCCTCACATGTAAATTTTATATCCAGGTTATTAAGGAAAAGAAACATACAGCCAAACCAGTAAGAGAAAGTTTTGTATGTGGAGCATGTGGTCAGGTATGTGATTGAGGTGCATTCTTTTGCATTGCCATAAAATAATGAAAAATGGTTTTTAACTTACAATAGTGATTGTTTACCTTTTGATGTACCAGTCAGGGCACATGAGGACCAACAAGAACTGCCCTAAGTATGGAGAAGACTTGGAAATACAGGTTGATAACACAAGCCTGGAAAAAGTATCAGGAAAATCTACCATTCTTGATCCTTCTTCCCAGACCCAGCAAAAAGCATCAGTGAAGAAACTAAAACAAAAGACTGTGTCAAAGGTTGCTACTGTAGCAACCTTGGAAAATGCTGATAAATTGATATTAAAAGCAAAATTCCCCTCACCGAACCTCAAATGTGGTCCTGTTGACAAATCTTCTGAGAAAGCACTACCTGGGATTATGCAGAGTTCTGAGAAACCCATCACTTCTGATGCTGAAACTGGGACTAAACTTATTACAAAGATAAGTAAGATAAAAATTTCCAACAAGATGAAAAATGAAGATATCCAGGTGGAACCTCAGAAGCCATCCATTGTGATACATCCACCAACAGAGGCAGATAGAGATCAACCTCGCAAGAAAATCATAATTAAGCAAACAAAGACAGTTGCTAATGTGGACCAGGTCAAACGGGAAGCTAGCTCTGGACTGGGTGAAGAACGTCGAAAGAAAAAAAAGATGATTGAATTGTCAAGTTTTGAGAAACATAGAGAGAAGGAGAGAAAGCAATTGGCTGAAAAGGCATCAAGGAGAAAAGCTGCAGAAGAGAGAAGATTGTGGGAAGAGGAGGAAAAGAGGAGATATGCAGACAGGTTGAGAGAGGAGAAAACAAGGAAGCTTTATGAGAAAAAGAATAGGATGCAGGAAGAACGAAGGTTAGCTGAGATTAGAAGACATGAAGAAGCCAGGCAAAGGGAGATGGAAGAACAGGAAAGACAGAAAGCAAAGAAGAAGAAAAAGAAGAAAAAAACAGAGATGAGGAATGAATATTTAGAGGAGCATAGATCAAGTAGAAGTGATCGAAGAATGTTAGAGAGGGACCGTGCTGCCAAGAGGTGGCCTGTGATTGAGTTGGGGAGGTATGCCGCCGAATATGCCCCACAAACAAAGCGTCGTAGAGGAGGGGAGGTAAACTTTCCTTTTCATCACTTATTCTAAGTTGTAGGAAATTGTATAAATGGTGAATCTAAAACTTAAACATGATTCTCTGCCTTTTGCACAACAATTTATGTCATGAACCCCAATTTTCATCAACTTCCCTGATTTCACATCCAAAAGATGTGAACAAATGATATCATTAACCCATCTATTATTACTGATATTTTGCAATATGCATCTGATAAGTTGTGCTTGCACACAGGTTGGGTTGGCAAACATCTTGGAGAGCATTGTAGAGGCCCTTAAAGGTCAAATTGATGTATCCTATCTGTTCCTAAAACCAGTATCCAAGAAAGAAGCTCCTGACTACCTTGACATCATCGAGAATCCAATGGATCTCTCCACCATTAGGGAGAAGGTGAGGAGGATGGAGTACAAGAAAAGGGATGACTTCAGGCATGATGTGTGGCAAATAAACTACAATGCTCACAAGTACAACGAGGGGCGCAATCCTGGTATTCCTCCTCTTGCAGATCAGCTCTTGGAACTCTGTGACTACTTGTTGGCTGAGAAGGATGCCCTCTTGACTGAAGCTGAAGCTGATATTGCTTGAAAAGATAAGTGGTCATTCCTAATTCAAAGCGCACCCATTGGCCTACTGCAAGCCCAGACCGTCCCCATTTTTTTTACTGGGCTTAATGTGAATACATGGCTTATGGGTTTGTGTAATTTTATTTATAAAGGTAATTTAAAATTCTTGTGTCGAAATGCTTTTTCTTAAAGTGTATGTATTTATTTTGGTCTCTGTTTCATTTACTTTTCACAGGGAAGGCTTTCACATCTCCATTCACTACCCGATTGGATGAGCCTTCTTATATAATATTAATATATTCTTCTATGAAATGTATATTACCAACTAAACATTGATTGGTGGGTGATGGATCTTCCCTAGATAATGCTGTCTACAAAATCAATCGGATCCTAAGACTTAAACGTGGTAATGCATTGCCATGGCCCGTGGGGCTGGCCGAATCCTTTATACAGTAATATGATTGATTAATGATTATGTTGTAGGTTATGGGGGCTCTCACGTTATAGGTTGGTTAAATGCCTGATTACACCATGTCACTGATAAGGGTGCTCATGACTGCATGAGTGTCGCTTGGAGCCCCTATTTGGCTTCGGCATTACATTTGTGCGACTTAATTGAAGGTTCTAAACTAACAAATGAAAGGATAGAGCGCCAGTGCAGTGCTGAAAGATTTAACAAATTCGAATGATACGTGACCTATGAAGTCGCATGGGTAGGTATCAAGGTTCAAAATGTTGATATGTCCGATACGTCCGCTACTGGCATATCGGGCAGTATTGATTGTTTTTTTTTAGTTTTTTTTTTAAATCCAATTCAGAGGGTCGGTTAATGTCCATCCACTCCTTGAACCGGTCAAAACCTCAATTCACCCTCCGTAGGGGTGTATCGGAAAATTCTCAATACAATACATATTAACCGATATAGGCCGATACATGTCGCTTTTCTAAACTTTGGTTGGTATGATTCAATTTGGGCTAATATTTAACAGATTATCCATTTCAACTGAAGTATTGAACTCAGCCTTAATCCCAACTCAACGCATTTAGCTTAGATTCTCATTAATATTGTTTCCCTCGACTTAATATTTAAGGGCATGTGGTTTTGGTCCCACTTGTCGGATTATCAACAGATTAATTCTAAATTTTAGCAGTTATAAGATCCACATGAAAATTTATTTCAGTTCTTCCGAAGCTATAAACAACCCCCTGAGGCTTGAGTCAGTGTTGATCTTTAAGTGTTTCTTCTCTGAAGAAAGGAGAGATGGGGCCACAATGAAGAGGAAAAAGGATATCTCCTCCCAACCGCCACATGTGCCAAACTTAGAGGTAATATGGTCATTTTCTATGCCAGTTGTGAAAGTTTGGGGGGAATTGAAAATTTACATGGTTGAGGTAGTGAAGGATACCCACGTAGTTTATGAGGATTTTCAGAGTTTACCCCCTTTTTTTTCTGCTTCATGGAGATATACAACGGAAGGTAACCCATCGGCTCATCCCCTTAACCCCCAACTCTGTGATTCCATGTCCGTCTCTTCTACAACGAGTCAGAGATCATACCAACTGAGCCACAATGAGTTGGTATGTTTACCCTTTTAAATTGTTGCAGTTATAAGAACCACATGAAATATTTATTTCAGTAACCCATGTTTATAAATGCTGAAGCTGTAGTTATTTGCCCTACAAATAAATCCCCTGTTGGCATTTAGGTACGTTCCGAGTGCAGCTAAGCTCTGTTTGTTGCCATGTTTGTTGCAGAAATGCCTTTCTGTACATAAAAAGAAAGAAAAAAAAAGAGCAGGTCCCGACTCCAGAATATAATAGCTTCAAAGCAGTTAGAATCAATTCCCAGAATTCCAATTTTATTGTGTTGACATTTTAGTCCTCTTTAGGGTCTTCATTTAACTTTGCATTAATATCTTGACATTTATTTTGCATTAAAAATCACAAGGGTCGATGGGCTCATAAAAAATGAGCAAAGACTAGCTTTCTCGTTCCTCCAAAGCTAGAAAAGACGTAAACCACTGTTTCCATGGAGCATCTTCTTGTTGTTCAATCCATGACAGAAAAGTACTGTCCAACAAACAGAATACGTTCACATAGAGGAGTTGGTATCTCACTGGAACAAAGCGGAAGTTAGCAACCTGTAGGAGTGGCCACACTCCTCCCTCCAAAACCAAGGCCGGAAGGAAATCCCTCTTCACATCTTCCTTCACCTCAGCAACGCTCTTGCCAGTCGAGAAACCCATATAAGTGAAAAACACAAACAAGTCCAAGGGTCCAAAAATTATTGCATCCAGTGCAACTTTTGTGGCAACAGACCGCCCTGATTTTGATTGTAGATGAAGTCTCATCCTGATGAATCTGTCCAAACCCTCATACCTAAAAGAAGTGCAAACAAAAACAATGAAAAAGAATGCCTTTTGAGCAGATGTTCTTTCTTCTGATTATTATATGTAATGAGCTATAAAACGATTATATTCTGAGGCAATCTACTTATCAGACAAGCACTGTATTTTTCATTCTAGATGTTTTCCTTGTGACAATGTTACGTGGATAGTCTATATTCCATGATTGTCGTTATTTTTATGCTTCAAATGGGTGAGAAAATAGGATGATTTGTTGAAGATTCATATAATAGAAAAGGGGCACATACAGCCCAAAGAAGTACTTCTCCATTATTTAGAAACTTGATATTAAAGGAGCTTCCCTAGTTGCAAACACTATGGGTCATTGCTTCAGAATTGCATTTTGAATGAATGTATGGAAAAGGTAAAAAAGAAAGGGCAAAAGGTAGACACTAACCAGAAATGGCCAATTGGTCCAACAAATCCAAACCCAAACATGCTTGTGATTGCTACTCTTCTCCAGTTGATTTTGAATTCTTCGTCTGCATCCTGCTTATAAAGCAAAGATTATAACAAGATGCAAGCCACCAACGTTGGAGGCATGTATACCAAAGCAAATGCACAACCTAAAACCAGAGAAAATTTAATGCTAATGTTTTTCCAGCAGTTCTTGGGCATTTTTGTGTTGGTAGAAACAAACATGGCTAAAATTACGGGAAAAAAAACTGCTACACCTGGATTTCAACTGGGAAAAGGGGGGTTTGATATCCCCTACCTTACCACTCGGCCATGCCATCAAACAATACATAATAGGTGGAAATGTTTCTTTTTGGGAAGATTATTGAACCTTTCCTTGATAGAATCCAGTTCATTCCCTTTCATTGATTGTATTGTACAGTGTTTTCTCTTCTATTCAACTCTAGAAACCAATGCCCCCCAATAGGTAATTAGGTAGTCTAGATCAGTTTATCCATGCAGATGTATGAGGCAAAAGACGCATTCTCTCTATGTGCCAGTTCTAAGACAGATAATCACGCATAACTCCAGTCAGAAATAGATTCAACAACTAGATGCAAGAATATGCAACTTGAATATCCACACTGTCAAGAGTCACTAATCTTACTTGTAGAAAAGAATATCACCACAATTAGAAGAAACACTGGTTCCATTGTTCAATATTTAAGCTGCAGGTCAGATACAAGATATCAGGCACTAAACCTTGACAACTCGACAGGATCAATTTCATTCCAACAGAGCAGTTCTTTATTGCTAATGAAGAAAATGAAAACAACTAGCTCTCGTCTAAGGACTCAAAAACAAAATTAGTATTATACAAAGGCATCTCGATTAGCGAAATAATGACAGGAACCCATTACCTAAAACCATGAACTACAGCCAAAACAATAAAGTGATAAACCCCAAATTAAATGAAAACGGGAATAATTGTAAGGTCCGATTGGAGGTACTTACAGAGTTCTGACGATATTTTTCCTTTGTAGAGTGAGTGACCGTCGTGGCGGCAACGTCTCCAACTCCCCACAGGAATCCCGAGCTGACGATCTGGGTCTTCACTGGATGAACAGCCAAGCATTTCTGGTACCATTTCCATAACCTCGACATCATATGCAACTCGCAAGACGAATGAATTTGAGCATTTAATACATTTATATACAGAGACAGAAGAAAAATGAAGATATGGGGCAGAATGATCCTGGGCTTATTGAAAGAAAGATGCAGAGAGAAAGTTGGTGTCCATAGCGCCCTCTTTATGATCTCGGCTTGACGCGAGGTCTGGTTACCGACTATTCTCCCCAACCCCATCATGTATATCCTATTGAGTATGCTAGAGTTACAACGAGGATTGAGGAGGACCATTGCTGCACTCATCATCTCCATTGACGTCTGCAAACAGGGTCGGGAAGATGGGTTTGCTGCACGGCCCGTCCAGTGAAGGAATTACATGCAAAGTGCAAACCCACCTGGCCCACACACGGCACTCACCCACGTCTGAAGTGTCACCCACGTCCAGTGTATAACTATAATAATCCAACTTTCCATATAGAAACAATATATAAAAGCAATTAGAAGTAATTTAAAATTATATAAAATTGTTTCTAGATACAAATGGGTTTGTTTTTTTAATTATTCGATGACTACATATAAATGGGTTGGTGGGCATATGATGCCCCCCATTAGCGCAAATTGGGCGGGTCTAACTCGAGTCCGGGCTGGGCTTGGTTCAAAACTTCAAGTTTTTTAGACCCGAGTCTAACCCTTAGGTAGGCCAAATCTGATCCGAGCCTGGTCCGGCCCTATCTCAATTTGAGCTTAGTCTGACTGTATGCATTTATGGATGGGTTCGATAATAATGTCAGAAAGACATCATACCGTAAAACTTACTACCTATCAACCCGTAAGGTAAAATTAGTAATCAACCATGGGTTCAATATATACATATATATTGAAAACTAACAAGGGGATAGATAGGGTTGGGTTTCAGATCAGATCATTGATCCAATCCATTTTCACCCTTACCCCTATGGAAGGTGTGACACTTCACAACCAATATTTCTGTTTCTCTTAGCTATATTCCATATTGGGCGTATTGTATCTATCTTTTGGATTCCGATATATTTGTTTTCAGGTGTTTCAGAATTCTACTCTTTTTCAATAAAAAAAAAAAACACGTTTTTAATTCCTCAAAAACTAAATTTTGAAAAATAAAAAATAAAAGTATTTCCGTGTGTTTAAGCTTTGATACACGCCTCTGTCGACTTATTATCCTCTTGATCAAAGAGGCTCAGGGGAATTGCAGAAACTTTTTGAACTTCATCATTTGAGAACAACTCTCCAAGTAGCCGAACATTCCAACTTCTTGGGCCATCCATTATGAGCTCTTGAACAGTTTCCAGAGTGCAATTTAGAGGCTTAACTGATTGGATTAGGAAAGATGGATTTCCAGGTATGCAAGGGTATTCCTTAGATTTAGAGGGTTTAACCCGATCCTTTTGAATTCCATTCACATCGAATTCGAAGGTATATTGTACTAAAGACCGGAAGCTATACAAAAAGGCTTCTCCAGTGGTAACTAAACCCAAATTTCTCCAAAACTTGCATTAAGAAGGGCCACCTCTTTTTCTTGATGTAGATAGTGAAAAGCCTCATGAACCAGACATGTTGTCAAAGATAAAACGGCTTTTAACAAAAGCACATTAAGACTAATCCACCAAGTTTGGTAACACTTCTTTTAACCGGTTAACCCAACACTTGGCTAGAATCCTGTATGTGACATTTGTTAAGCTTATGGGTCTGAAATGGGTCATTGATTTAGGTTGTTTACATTTTGGAATTAAAACAATGCTGGTGAAATTTGAACTACTTGGTCTGATACCTGTATTGAACCAGTGTTGAATTGTTTCCATCACTTTGTTACCCACCACACTCCAGTACTTTTGATAAAACAGTGCAGGAAGCCCTTAGGCCTAGGGGTCTTGAGTAGTTGAGATAAAGGTCTGTCCAAGTTAGCTATGATGGGGGAATGGTTTGCAACATCTAAACTCCCAATCACCTCAGCGTTCTCTGGTGTGAATAGATATGTAAAATAATTTTGCATAACCTCCGTTATTTGAATTTCCTCCTGCACCCAGTGATCGTTTGCATCCTTTAACAGTAGAATTCTGATCTTTTTTGCGTCACCAAGGATTGGGGAAGCATTTGAATCTCTTTAATTTCAAACTTTTAACTTCTAAATTCTCATCCTGAGGTTACTGAAGTTATTTTTGTTCCAGGATTTCAACTTTTTCCGACAATCACTGAGAGATCTGCCAAGACTAGTTGGAGATCTCTCACTGTCAACTATCACGCAAGCCCCCTGCACAACTTCTTTACACTCAGGATAAGAGACCCAAATGGCTTCAAAGCGAAAAGGTCTATAATCTTTCCACTTGTTGGGAACAAAATCTAACACAATATGCCCATGATCAGAGCCCTCAATTGCTTCTTTAAACACCACTGCCTTATCGTTTGCATCTCAATTCGGGTTTTGTCAAAACACCACAGCACATCTCGATCTTGTATTGAAAACATTTTTCGATGATGTCTCATGATGTTCTGTAGGATATTATGGGCGCTGATATTACGTTTTTATTCATTGGGAGATGTTCCCAATTCCAGCCCTTTTTTGCTCGGTAGATTTTTTGACGACAAACTGAATTTGCTTACATCTATGGACGAAAATATCTTACGAGATCAGGAAAAAAAGGTGGGGAGTAATGGGTTTCAGTATGTGGGCTGGGCTATGGTTAAGTATTAACCATAGTATCGTACAATAATTTGAACTTCAGGAAGTTTGACAAACAAAAAGATAAGGCATGAATATAGAAACTAGAGAGAGTCAAATTCTGGAACTGATGTAGCCAAAGCTGCTTTCTTTGGTAGAAAAGGGAAAACAGTTGGGACAGAACTGGTCCAACAGAGCCCATTTGTTTCGCTTTTTTTAATAGGGGAATGCACAATTAGGATGCTCCATATAAATTGTTTTTGATTGCCAAAATGAGCTTGAATCTTTGGGCCCGTTTGGTGTGTCTTTCTGCGCGGTCTTTCGGTTGTTTATAAACTGCGAAGACAGATTTTTTATTTATTTCCGTTTGATGTGTAGAAAATTTAACCGTCAAAAGACGGAACGCCGAAAAGACATGAGAAGCCCATTTTGAAATGATTTCGGAAAGCTCCAAATGAAGCTTCTCGCATCTTTTGCGTTTTAATCTCGCACGGAAAGACGAACATCTGCCAAATATATTTCGGACTGCTCAAATCTTCATGCAAGAGCTCAATACATTTTTTGCTTGTCAGAATTAGCAGAAGATCATTCCAGAAAAACGCACCAAATAAGCCCTTCGTCTGGGGTTTAAATAAATGTGAGGTAGAATCTCAAAGGAGATGGTCCTTGGTCCATGCTCAACTGAGCCCCATGATCTAGACATAAATAATTGAATGAATCCCAATATGAAGTGGACCCTATATTGGGTTGAGGCTTTGGACAACCTGACAGGTGTTGACATTGAAACCCTTTTGTCCAGAATGATCTGAAGCCAGGTTAGGTATGTGTATTCAGATTATAGGCCACCTTCAATTGTTAACTTGGTAAGAACTTTGGGTTCTCCAAATGTTCTTCATTTTGAAGCTAAACAAAGTGCTATTTTACACATTGCATATTTACAGAGTTTCTCCAAATTTTGATTTGACCTTCCAAATGTTTACTGCCCCAAGGCCAGAAAATCCACGAGGGAGTAATCTTATCATTTTTCATGTTAGAATCTTTTAGAACCTCCTAACTTTCCCGACCCTCCTGGTGCTGATTGATTTTAATTTTTAAAAGGTCAAAGTAGCATTTTGGGGGATTTTCGTTTTTCAGTGGAACATAGATGGATGCTAGATGCACAGCCGGATGAGAGATGGATTCAAAATGAAGGTTGATGAATTTGTCCATAAAACTTAATTGGGGTGGCTAGATCTTTTGCTTCACTTTCACAACTGTAAGGTGCTGCCATTATGGGCACTGAATGAAACTAGAGCTACACTAAGTGATAGCGATAATTCATTAATGGGACAATGGCACATCGTCAGATTTCCAAGATAACACAAATTGCTATTCTAACATCAAGTACTATAATCAACTGATCCTTCAAATCAGAAGTAATGTCGTGCAAATATGCCAAATATGGACTGTAATTTACAAGGGTTTTTCTTCTCAATTTCTTCCTTGTGTAATTTCTACACACCAGCTTCAGAATTCCTTCAAGCCTTGCACGTTAACAACAAAAAATATAGCAAACTGAGAGTTTGTACAATAAAATCTAGTATGCTCCCTTGGTTGGCAAAGCTATGACCCATTTATCATGTTTTTTTGTCTGTTCTTCCATTCAAATGTGGTACTTTTTGATCCGGAGGTTGAGAAGGAACCCTGCTGAGGAGCCACACCAAAGCTACACCAACCAGAGCACCAGAAAGATGAGCAATGTGGTTGACACTCTGCATGTAACCCCCGCTAAAACTGCCTGACATTCCAGTTGAAGCTTGTGCTGCTTCCATCACCTAATTACCATTGATGACAATAGAAAAAGTTGATCAACATAGATTAGAAGCAATAATTTTAAGTTACTACAATCCAACATATAGAACCCAAAGGGACTAGAAGGGCCAGGGGCAGACAAAAAATGGCATGGTTTGAAGTAGTAATGGCAAAACAGGATTCATGTAGCCAGTCCCATATAGTTGGGATAAGGCTTAGATTGATGGTGATGATGATATAGGACCCGAAGGATATAAGAGAACTGAAATAAATTTCTCAATAAACACGAACCCAATTTTCTGTACAGGTTGTAGCTGGTATGGTTCTGCATGACATGAATCCAGATGCTCAATCCTCAAATCTTGCAATTCAATTTAAGTTGATAATTTGGCATGAGAAGAATGAAAAGTGAATCCTGATCCAGGCCCAAACTGAAGGCCAAAAGCAACAGTGGAGGGCAAGTTAATCAGGTTTAGTCAGTCACCTATGGGTCAAGCATGGCTCAAATGATACTTGAGTTTTTTTTAGTTCAGCGGAAACAACATCCTGGAGGACCAGAATTATTTTGAGGATGGCTAATACTAAGAAGATTGTTTTCGTATCCTTGAAACCATTAACCATATTTCCAAAAGAGTAAGTTTGTTAGATATGGTTGAAATTTCTATTTAAATTTTGCATGCACACAAAAGAAAGGAAAAAAAAAAAAAAAACTTCAACTTAGTTGCTTGGAAAATGATTTTTCATATTGTTTTGAGGCCTGATATCAATTTAAATTGGTCAAATTCAAATTCAGTATTGATGAAAGTCTTTTAACTATTCAATCCACACCAAGGAATGAAAGAATGGAAAATGAAGTTTGGCTTTTTGAATGTTTTTCTTGCATATCAAAGATGCATGTAATTTTCCACCATTTCACATTGTAGGTAATGTGCAAGTCAGAAGGCAATTACACCCTAAAGCATGTTTTTATCCCTTTCAATATTGAATTATTAATTTCTAATAGGAATTGTATTCTTTACCTTCTCTATAACAAATTGGCCCAGTATAAGCACTTCAAGGATCTTCCTCCAGTCCCAGGATATCTGTAAGAAATATTGTAGGTAGTTAAAAAGTAAATATTTAGTCCTTTCTCCTGATTATGTTTTTCGGTAGTAAGAATTGGCCAACCTTGACAAGGACACTAATAGCAAAGAGTCCAAAAACTGCACCAGAGGCTCCAATTGAAACTGCATTTCTTGGAAGAACTAACCAGGAAACAAGGTTTGCTCCAGCACCTGTTAGAATATAAGAAACCCATAATGCAAAGTTTCCTTCCTCCTCCTCAATAAGCTTCCCTGTAGGAGAAAGAATAGAACACAATGAAAATATTGTAAATATTATATACTAAAATCAAATGCCTGTCAATAAACTTCTACAAACAAAATGAAAAAATGGAAACCATACCAAAAATGTACAAAAAGAATAGGTTGCTAGAAAGATGGTTCCTGTCAAGATTTATTTGCAAGAGTATAAATCCTACAGTCAAAATTTTATGAGGATAAAGTCATTCTGTGATAGCACACATGATTACAGATCATGAACTTTTAATTATATAACTAAGATCCTCCATCTCACCAATTAGCATGGCAAAACGTTGATGTCACAAACTGGTACCATTCAGGTCGATTGTGGTAGAAGTACAATGCTTTAATCCCCCGAATCTGCAAAACCTTGACTTGCATCAGTTTTCCTTTTACAACTAGTACTTGGCATCTTCTATATGTTCATTTGATCATCATACACTTCTTTATGGAAACAATAGTCCTTCTAGCTCTAACAATCATATTTGAGAGAATTACCGACTCAAGGTCCCACATTACACAACTATAAACTTATTAAAACTTCAAATGAAGACATTATTGCTAGCGTTGCACTTCATTCTTCCCCCACTACATTAATGATACCAAATTCACATAGAAGGAATAAAACCAGAAGAAATCAACAGAAGAGAAAAGATCCCTCCAATTACTTCCAAACCAAGGCCTTGTTGATATGTAAAACTAAAAGAGTTTAACACAATTACGCAACATATTTACCTGAAGCCAGTGATCTGCTGCAAAAATCCCAAGGTTAAGAAGTAGGATCCAGAATATCCCATTAACACGCTTTTCCCGTTTCCGTTTCTCCTCAGGCCTCCCTAATTCCAGCTCCGATATCATATCTAATAAAAGCATCACCGTTTCTTTTAACTTGGACGATAAAATTACACCTTTTGACCTCAAACAAACAAAGACAAACTTGCAGAATCTCAAAATTAAGCCATTAGTGATTCCTCAGAATGGGCTAAACAGGAACATATTGGGGCTATTGTAGTACTCTACTAAGTACTAACTCATTCAAATGGACTAATTTGGCAACTTCCAACAAGAAATCCCCATCATAGTAGAAGCTTTTTTTGACGCTCAATTAAATTCTCCTTTGTGGTTTAAACTTTGAACCCTAAAGATAACTCATTTGGGAGATTCGAGTTCCTCAACCAACGCAAGACCTAATAATACCCAGTTCATTCTTTCACATGATAATTCAACTTCTACAGAACAAATCTTCTTCATTCTGATCAAACCCAATATACCCAGAACAAACTAAGCTTCGAATCAAAGACAGAAGAGAGTGAGAGGAAGTACCTGAGCCGTTCATCTTGCAAATGTGCCGACACCGAGCGGTGGAAAGAAGAACCATATCGTTATTTCTGGGGAATTTTGCCGAACAGGGAGGGCGAGAGAAGGCAAGAAGTTTGAATCGATGGTTTAGCGGAATATGGGAGGAGAGGATGAGCCCTTTGGGAGCCGCGGTGGTGCTGCGGCCGCTGCCGAGCGTGAGGAGATGATGAAGGTGAACCATCTCGCGTTGATCCGCGGAGGGAGCTTCCGAGTTCCGAGATTCCTCTGTGTATCATATAGGAAGAGAAAGATTTTGGCCCATGTGAAGAATGTATAAATGGGCTTGGTCCAGCATCTTTCCAAGGGCCCACTAGAGAAAGATCAGAATGGGCTTGCTCCTACAAGGATGTAGGAGCAATACTTCAGCTTGGCCGGGCTGGACCGTCTGGTCGCCCAAGCCCAATAATAGGCATGAATGGGTCAATCCAGTTGAACACAGCCCAGACGCTTTTCTATATGGCTATGGCTATACAACAATTAGACACCCTTCCATAAAACTTTGCCTTTTTTTTGTTAATTAGTAAAGGTTTGTTTGGTTCAACATAGAAGGATAGGAGGATTTTCTTCCTGAGATGTTTCAATTTTATCGAGAGAGCGTTGTTTTTCATCCATGCTACAAACAAATTCAGCAAAAGGAGATCAAGTATTAACGAGTGGTGAAACCCTAAAAATATCTGGCCATGGTCCAAAACTAGGCCTGTGAATGATACCTGAAAATCCTATAATATTTATTAATTTTAATATATAAATTTTATATAATTATATTTAAAATTATAAAAATATATTCTATATATTATATTATATATGAATTTATATGTATGATAAATTTAATATGTTATATTTATCTTAATTTATTATATATAAAAGTTGAAAAATAAATTTATTTTTTATTTTTTTGGTATTTTAGAAAATTTATAGCAGAATTGGATTAAATCCACATCTGATCCGAGTCCGTTAGGATTTGAATTCAAATATGAGCCTTTAACTCCAATCGAATTTCAGATCAGATGTGGATGTAGATTCAGTAATCAAATCGGATGCAGAATTTGTTGCATCCTATCCAAGTCCGATCCAATTACAGCCCTATCCAAAACTATACTCAAATGGTGACATTGTAGTAGAACATTATAAATTATAGATAATTTTATTACAATATATATATATATACCAAATAGAAGATTACACCTCTTTACGATCATGTATTCACCATCATTTGGAAACCTAAACTTCACAAACACACACCTACTGACCCACATGTATAGACAATCAAGCCTTTCAACAATACTTAGTAAATGTGTACAAGCATTGAATGTGGTGAATTTAGGCAAGGTGCCAACTGACTGATTGGTAACGTCTCTTAATGGTTGTAGCAAAGATTTGGGATAGAATCCTGCCTGCACTAGGGTTGGGGATTATGGATTGTTCAGGGGATGGGCTACCCCTCCTTGTGTAGCCTCATGAAGAAAAAAAATAAAGTGTTAAATTTACATGATATGACAATAATCCATCTTCAATACTATTATAAAGTGGATACTTAGCTCAGTTTTGGTTTGGGCCATAAAAGTTAAATTTAATAGCTTAATGTTAATTTTATATCTTTATCCTTAATTATACATCCTTACAATAATAATAATAATTTCTATATCTTGCGAATTGATACTTGGTGTAGTATTACATATTTTATATAATACAAAAATACTATATATAGTACACAAAATACATTTAAAGTTGTAGGCCAAGGTGGATGGGCCCAAGCCCAAGCAATGCCCTTTATAATAGGTGCTAAGCTTGGTCAAGCCCACCTTTTAAAAGCTGTTCAACTAGGCAACTTACTCAACCCAAAATTGTGCATAAGGCTATGTTTAAAATGGGCATAAAATTTTCCGGAAAGAAATATTCCAGTTGTATATTAATGCCTTCACTTTTCTGGCAGAAGCTTTGTTTTCCATTCAACTTTGTTCTAATATAAATGGTAAAGAAAACAAAATTTTAAGAGAAGAGAACTGATATAAATTCTAACAAGATTTTATCATCTTTAATATGTTGTAATAAATACATTTTGAAATGCTGTATTCCCTAACAAAATATAAGGTTTTGTACTCTATAAATTTGTATTTATATTCCTTCCAAATTGAGCCTAAATAGTACTAACAAAATGGAAAGGAATTTATATATCCAACAATGGTTTTTAAAACTGAACTAGATGAGACAGTCAGACCTGAAAAATTGGGAATCAATTAGGTAATCGGTTCTGTTTCACCCTAAAATTATTTTTTAGTTAAAAACCGTTGATTTGGTCAGCAATCTACTGACTTGGGTGGTTGAACCACCAAACCATCAATCCAGACAATGATTTTTGGACATTTTTTTGTTTTTATGTCGAAAAGAGCCATTCTTTCGAACTGGATGGTCACACCGTTCAACTCAAGAACAGGTCCCAAAACAGTTCCCTGTCCCATCCGGTTTTAAAAACCTTGTATCCAACAAAAAGTTTATAATGCCATACTAGCATAGATTTTCATGCATAAAAGTTAAAGCAAGAGTATCTTATCATATAAGGTTAGTACTTTGTGCCCTTACACCGTTGGTTGAAATGAGTTGTGAATTGATGATAGAAGGTGTATTAATACATTTTCGACCTGTTGTTGAAGCAGCTAGTTGAACCGTTTGAACTGTCATTTGGTCATAATTTTAGGTCTGGTTATGTTGAAATCTGTCATTTAATCAGAAAATGTTGATTTGGTCAGAAACTGTCTGATTTGTGTGGTTTAACCATCGATCCATTCAAGCTGGTCACCGGGTTGTGGGATATATACTCAAAGTGTATGTACAAACTTTCGAAGACTATAATTTTGCACTTCGATATTTGATTGGGGTGATATATATATATTTTTTTTTGATAATTTTTCAAGATCTGTATCCCAAGGTTTCATAGGCACCTTGTCCTATTATTTTCATAAAAAAAGCTTTATTAGCCTCAAATAATAATTTTTAAAAATATAAATTAAATATAAAATAATACATATATTATATATAAAACACAATTATACATTATTTATTGATAAAATATGTATTTACACAAACACATATACACATAAAAAAATAATTTATTTTGAATTAGTGATTCCTTTGACATCACCCAACTAGAATTCAAATAGGAATAAAGTTTGCTCCTTTGAGTTTTTTTTTTTTAAATGCTTGTAATCAGCATTCTATTAAATGCTTGAGTTTTTTTTATTTCTCTCTCAACTTGTTTGTTATTTGAAAGCTTTATAAGAATCTGGATTTCGTCTTCACAAAATCTATTCTCATACCGTCTTTTACATGACTACAGTTGTTGTGAGAACAGTATGAAAACAAATTCTGTGAGGACGAAATTGGACCTCATGGGCACTACTTCTGTGCCAAATTTAAGGAGCCAAGGTAAATTCAGTCAAATAGCATGTGACAAGGCATCCCTGGAGTAATGTACTTCATTGTTCTTATCTAACCTAATAAATAAATTTTGATAAGGTAATAAGTGGGTCTCAACTCTCGGCTTCAACTAAAGCAATACATTACTCATCATCATCCAAACTTATCCCAACGGCTACATCAATCTTGTTTTATTCTATTTAATGCCATATCAATTGTTAAATTATCTCAATTACATGTATAGTTTCTTACTTCCTTTTGCTTCAACTTCATTTATGCATATTATACGGGGTAGTGTTTTCAAAACAGGATTAGACTGGAAAAATGGGACCGTTTCATCTTAAAATCGCTTTTTAGCTAAAAATCATTAATTTGGTCAATGAACCACTAACTCGAGTGGTCGAACCATCAAATTATTGATACAGACAGCGGTTTTTGGCCATTTTTTGTTTTTTTTTTTTTAATTTTTGTCAAAATGGGTTTTCCATTCGAACTAGACAGTCAGATCGTTCAACCTGCAAATTGAACCTTGAATGGTTTCCTATCCGACCAAGCTTTAAAACCTTGATACGGGGCCCTGCTAGTTCAGAAAAGAAAATAAGGCTGAATGGAGGTGTCCTAATGAGAAACTAAACATCATTACTTACCTCTACTATAAAAATAATGGTTAGATTGGACTTGAACACCTTGACCCAATTATATGTCATAGCTCCTTTTGCTTCAGCTTCATATCGGGCCCTGCTAGTTTGGAAAAGAAAATAAGACTGAATAGAGGTGCCCTAATGAGAAATTATACATGATTACCGAATGATGGTTTTTGGGGGATCCATTACTGAGATGGGATCCAGTAGGCACAACATAGGAAGCACACTCATCGAGCAACTTCATAAATATTTTGACAACTGTTAAAAGTTGTCTTTAAGCACCGTTTGCTTTTTGGTAAGTTATTTATCTGGGTAAATGCAATTATCTGGATAAATTTTTCATGGGAAACACTTATTCAGGTAAGTGCATTTACCCATTTCTTTTATTTCTTAGGTAAATAAGGCAATGACCATTTTAACCATAAAAATCCATTATTAAAAGGGATATTTTTTTTCCATTCAAATGTTGACAATTTTGCCCTTATGTTAAAAAGTTATTTACCCACCTAAGAGATGGGTATCACCTTCCTAGGTAGTGTGGTGTGGTGTGTTAGCTAGTGTAGTGTAGATGAATCCACACCACCTAATTTCTCATTCTCTAGAAAATGCATCTCAAGTCATCATAAATAATATATTATATATTATAAATATATTTATATATAATACATATTTATTAATTTATAATATATAGAAAATATAAATTATATATAATACATATATAATATATAAAAATATATGTATATCGATCAATTCGGTCAATCCTCATTTTTTATACTAGTTAACCGAAACTAAATTAATACCTTCAACTTTTTTAAAAAACTAAATCGAAATCAAACCCATCAGTTAAATTAACCGGATTCTTAGTTCAATTTTGATGTGTTTTTCGGTTTTTCTTACTCACCACTAATTCTTTTAGCCTACACCATGATAACGTGTGGAGCACATGCACAGGAAGCTATCGGCCAGAGATGGTTTTTACAGACAAAGTTTTTACCTTTTACGAGTTCGGTGGTATGGGACTAGTCTATCGGACAATCAGAGGCAAGCTATTACATTTATAGCAGCCCCACTTGGGAAGATAGCTGACACGTTCTTAGGTGAACTGATTGCTTTGTCACGTAAAGGCTTTGATTTTATATAATTTAAGGAAATTAT